TTGAACAAACCAATTTGCAATTGGTAAATTGATAACCCAATTCATAGTTTAATTCGATGAGGATCAGACAAAATAGCAAATAGTTTTGGATTATTCATTTAATAGCATCGTTTGTTTTCCAAGTGGAAACCTTTTATTATTTTCTTTATTCAAGAAACAACTATAAGAATTCGAGTTTCTTATATACATCAATTTTTGCTTGTTTTTTTTTGAAATATCTCTGGGGGTATTTAATATATAAATTAGCCAATCAAGATAAATTTATGAATTAGCCAATTGAAATAAATTTTCATTTCTTTTTGGAAAAAAAAAAAAAAAATTTAAAAATGAATTCAACATTTGAAAAATATTTCAATGAAAATGAGAGGTTGTTGAATACTGAAAATTTTTATGATGTAAAAATATATGTTGGTGTAGAGCCAGACATTAAAGAAGTTCATGCACATGCATCTATCATATCTGCTCATTGTCCATTTTTTAACAACGCATTAAATGATGTAACAAAAGAAAATGGATATTATATCATTAAGAAAATTAATATCAGTGAAAAATTTTTTGAACCTGTTCTCAAGTAAGCTTAAATAAATTTATTATTATATTAATTTATTATTTATTATTATTTAATAATGACCTGCTTAATAATTTATTTGTTTTGTAAGATTTTTATATACATGTAAAATTGAATTAGAAAATTATTCTGGTGCTGAAGTATTGGAACTATTAACTGCAGCAAATGAACTTGGTATTGAGTCACTTTATGAATATACAATGAAACATTTTATTGAAAATTATGAAGATTATATAAAAGAAAATCCAGTTAAAATTCTACAATTGATTTATGATAATGAAAATTTTAATGAATTGAAAAATATTTATTTGGAAAAGTTTTGTGAATATAGTGAAAAATTATTTGAATCAAGTGAATTTAAATCATTGGAAAAACCAATTCTATTGGAAATTCTCAAGAGAGATGATTTTTCTGTTGATGAGATAGTTATTTGGGAAAGCGTTCTTAAATGGGGATTGGCAAGGCATCCTGAAATCAATAATATCAATGTTGAAGATTGGTCCTTACAAAATTTTGGTGATTTGGGCAACACATTAAAAGAATTTTTTTCTCTAATAAGATTTCAGGATATTTCTAAAGATGACTTTTTTAATAAAATTGAACCATATGATACACTTTTTCCTAGGACTTTATGGAAATCCCTTTTACAATCTCATTTGTATCCTGATAGACAACAAACTTTAAATTTATTACCTTCAAGAATTTCAAATTTGAACTCAACACTTGAATCATTGACAATCAATCAAAACCTTACTTTGCTTTTTGCAAGCTGGATTGATAGAAAAAGTTCACCATACACTTCATTCAAGGAAGTCAAATATGAATTCAAACTTCTATATCGTAGTAGCAGAGATGGTTTAAATGTAGCTACATTCCATCAAAAATGTAATAATGTCAACAAAACACTTTCAGTTGGTAAAATACAAAAATCAGAGCAAATAGTTGGTGGTTATAATCCACTAAATTGGAATGGACATTATGAATATAAAAATACAACTGAAAGTTTTATTTTTAATATTAATAATAGAAATAATATCAATACTGCACAATTCAGTTATGTTATTAATAATGATTATGAGCATGCAATTTATTGTAATCCTTGTTATTTATCAATTTTTGGTAATGGTTGTGATTTTTATTTTAATGTTGGTGGTACTATTTCTAGTTACCCAAATAGAGCTTATAGTAACATCAATATAGTACATGGTAGCAAATTTGATGAATTAGAAGTTTTTCAAATAATTTGTAAAAAATAAACATAATAAATACAATTAATTATTATATTTTTTTCTATAATTACTTTATTTATAAAACCTTATTGATAATAGACATATATGGGGATAGTTTATCCTAATAAAACTGTTGATTTTAAACAAGAATTTGATCCAGGAATCAAGGTAACAATCAGAAAATAGGTTTGGCAAAATTGATAGGAACCAGTGTGTAAAACTTAATGGTGACATGGTATACATGCATATATTCCATAATCAGAAATTATTTTATAAAAAAATTTTACTTTCTCAATGCTTATATATATACTTTTTCAAAATCAAAATCTCATATTTCTGATCCGTTTAATAATAAATCATTAAATATTACTAAAATATCAACATTTGTTTTATTTTGCATTTTACTTTTGTTGAGAGAATATTCTTTCTACTTTAGCATTAGAAATAGGTATAATCAATGCCATTTTAATTATAGTTGGATAATTAAAGGGAAAATTTTCATCTGTATCCCAATATATGTTTACATAAATGAATAAAATGCATTTCTTCATTTAAGACCAGAGATAACATTTTACTAAATCCCACACATGTTTAAGGTTTTCTTTATCAATAATTTTCCTATATTCATTTCCATTTATATATAAAAATTCTATTTCTCTATTATCATTTGTAAGCATATTTTCTTGAATAATATTACAAGTCATTTGATAAAATATAAATAAATGACATTAAAGAGAGAATATTGTTTCAAAGCTAAAGGAATCCTTTTAAATTTGTTTCAGCCAATAATATTTCCATGATTTGATGAATGATACCTGCCCATTCAATTTTAGAAGAACCATGCTCTGAGACTTTCTTTAGTTTTATTTTATTAGGTTCAATTGATATCATTGTAAAGTTGCTTAGCTTGTTGATCACATGATCCTTAAATTTATCAATTTGTGTTAATTTTATAATGAAAATGACATCTTTGTATAATGATACTGATTTCAGATTCCAGTGTTAGTAGAAGATGCTCAACAAGTACAAACTCTGCTACTGCAACCCAAAGGTGAATATATTTGTGTAACCGATGCTAGTTTTTTTTAAATCCGAGATATTATAGTGATAATGGAATTGACTGAAAAAATCCTGAAAGTTATGGTGGGATTAAGGAACCTCCATCCAAAGACAGGCTGAGATAATGCAAAGTAAGTGATGCCCATCTAATAAAGATGAAGAGCATTACAGGCGATGAATTATTGTAAGATTAAATCACCAATGATTGTTATTTGCTATGATATAACTAAATTCCCAGATGATTTATGCAATGGTTCTTTAATTATTTTAGAGAGGGAAATTTATTTTAAAAGTCAGGATTACAATCTTTAGATATTTGTGTGGTTCATTATATTATATACATAGAAAAGATTTAATCCATTATAATTTTCATATTACTGCAAGGAGGTGGTTGTTATATCACAGATTTTGATGATGAAAAATGATCAAATAAAACTTACGGAATTGTATCTTATATTGCACCAGAATTATTTAGAGGAAAAAAATACACAAAAGAATCAGAAATTTATTGCAGGACATCCATCATTTGATGATAAAGCACATGATTTTCATTTGCAATTAAGAATATGTGAAGGGTTATGTCCACTAAAATTACTAGGAATGCCTGATGATTATGAACAAAGGTATTGGGATGTTGATCCAGTCAAGAGACCAACTATTGGAAAGCTTTGGGAATTTTCTCATAATAAATTTATAAGCAAAAAATTTTAATGGAACCATCTATCAGTGGTGATGGTGGTAATAATAGTATTAGTAGTAAGAATGGTAATAATAGTAATTCACAAATCACATCATACAAGTAAATATTAAATGATGAATTTGCTAAATTGAATTTAAAAATCAATGATAGTTTATTAAGTGACCTGATGTTAATGAAATACAATTCAACAAGGCAAATTAAATAGCTAGTTAATTAATTATAAATATAATGATAATAGTAAATACTTGATAAGGACAAAGTTGGAAAATTGGGTAAATTGTTGATGGGCAGATGATTAATTATTTTCACCATTTATTAATAATAATTTTTGAAGTTGATTGTCTTGGATGAGCGATTACTTTGTTTTTGATCATTTAAAGGCCAAAATCAAGTTATCTGAAAATAATGGGGATAATGAGGGTGGATAGTGTAGAGTTTTTAACTGAATTCGAATCAAATATTTTAAGGAAAAAATGGACTCTCGATTGATTTTTCGTTTTTCAGAACACTAGAAAAAGATAACGTAAACTTGAAAGAATTACACAAAAATTGCATTTGGATTTATTTTTTTGTTTTTATTCCACTCATATTCATAAAGAATTCGAGATACAAGGAAATTCCCAAATGATCCGTTAAAAAGATGATCTTAATATCTGGCAAGATTAGGAAGGCGAAAATTATGAAAGAGAAACAATTAAGCATCTATAGTTAGTATTAATGTGTTAAAATACGAACTATATATACTATATATAACTGGCGAGTTTTATAAAATATTATAAAATTTTAAACCTTTATAACATTTGATAGAAAGTTTAAAATAACAATCTGGCTGCAAAATTTCAAATACCCTTCTTTATTTTCACGATCAATTCCTTTTCTCGAAAATTTCATTCATGCAAGATTATTTAAGGAAGAAAATGTTATCAAGAAGCGATTGAAATATTTGGACATTTAATAACATCAATCAGCAATAACTACAACGGCAATAATAGCAATGATGATAATATAGACAGACGTTACATGGATGTATTATTATATTGGCTGCTGTTATTTCGATCAAATCTATTTCGATATAACAACAAATTCTCGATACGCGGATCAATACAATTTAATATATTTATTGAAAGAAGGAACAAGATAAACTGGCATTTAAAATATTGACAGATACACAATTTTATCTATAGTGCTTATTTATTAATCACAGGAAAGGAGGGAACAATAATAGATTTAAAGGTGATTTTTGCTAATGTTTGAAGCGAAATATTATTAAAAAATGAATCGGAATCGGAAGAGTCGTGTAGATTGATTAAGAATTAGATTAGATCACCAAGGAAAAATATTTTGCGGATTTAGAAAAAAAAGAATTAAACTTTATTTCCATTTATTAAATCATAAATCATTATTGTGATTATTAATTATTAACTATTCTATTGATTATTTTTCTTTACGAAAATTCTTTTATACTTAAAATAGCCTTTAATATTTTCGTCGTTGAATTCTTTTTTGCATTCATTTACTATACGTTCATAATCTTTTTTAGACATTTTCGTGTAATCGCAAATACGATCTTTCAAATATTCGATATAACACAATGTAGCTTCTTTGCCAACTCCGCCGGTAACCTTGCCCCATTTACCAATTGGACAATACATAGTTACTTGTCTCAGATTATCGTCTAATCGGTCGTGATTGTCTAATATCTTATCCAAATTAAGATTTAATGATAAATCCAGTTTACTCGCTAATAACATATCAAGAACTTTAATAAAGACTGATTTTAGAAAGATTGATCACCTAATAAATAATATCAAGAGAAAAGTTCTTTACAATAAATGTATATAAATTACTCACAAGTATCAAACCAATTAGTAAAATTTTCTCCAAAATCGTAAGCTACTAAATGAGGTTCTACAATCTAATAAAAAAAAAGAAATTAACAAAAAATATTAATTTATTTTCAAATAATATAATAATTACCTCGATATAACCACCAGGTTTCGTTACTCTGATGGCTTCATTGAGCACCACATTTTCCCACTCTTTTGATTCAAGCGAGAGCATCGTATCTCTTATAAATACGAAATCAAATACTTCTTCTTCGAATGGTAATCCGTCCAGTATATTTGATTGGATGAACTCTGAATTGGGTGGCATTACGCACTCTGGAAATAAATGATTGATGTCTATGCCATAAAATCTCGATTTTGGAAAGTCTACAGACATTTCCAACGTCCAAATACCCGTACCGCAACTATTTCAATGACAAAGACGAAGATGAGGTGGGATTAAATTTGCAACGATCACGAAATCAAAAGCTTGATAAAAAAAAATAAATATATATAAATACCATATATCTAAAACTTTCCCACCGTTCTTCAAGACTTCAGTAACCGGCGAGCCAAAATTATCCCAAATAAGTTTCAACATGAAATGAGCACTATTCATCTTATCTGATTCATCATAACCCAATTTATTTTGAAAAATAGGAAAAGGTGATTCCTTCAACTCTTCTTCCTTTATCGATAAGGTCTTGGTATTTGTTTCCATTTAATATTGGAATGTTTTTAGTAAAATATTTTTTTGTGATTTCTCATTAATTTATCGTTTTCGAAATCATATTCATGTGTGTGTGAATATATATGTTTTATCGTAACACAAACTTTATGTTTATTTAGATTTTCTTCCGATTATTTTGCTTATTGGAAAAAGTTTGTATAACTCCAAATAGGTAGGTTTAATTGGTGCTTATAATTCATTCATTCATTTCTAAGAATTAAAAAATTCTTTTTTAAGATTTAATTATATTCTCAATGAATCGTTTCGTCCCTTAATCTAAATAAATACTCGTGACTTGTAGTTTCTATTAACTAAGCAATTGATGTAACCGGTCACCAAAATCTTTAGGTAAACAAAATTCATGTGTGTGCGCTTTTTATGATAGACGGTGATGAGAATGAATTCATTTTCAAATTTACTTTGTATATCGTTGGAGCACTTGATATAAAAAACATATATAATGACTACTATATACTAAATTAATTACATTTATTACATGTTACGTGCCAATGATTCAATTATTAATTTTACACGATCCGTCTATGAATGAATGAATAACTAAATTTGGAGATATAAAAAGTTGTGCTATATACTTTTGTTTATGAAAATATTTGTGTGTGTGCGTGCGCGCGGGTAAAAATATTATAGTGATATGTTGCTTGTTTTTACTCTTGGACCAAATAAATGTCAATCTTTGTCACTCGTCTGTGATTGATTGATGTTATTAATATTAGTGTTAGTGTTTGATTACATAAAGGATATTTTTCCGAATAATAATAACCTTAAAATCATTTTTAGATGTTAAATTATTTGTCACCCCATTCCCCATTTTTTATTAAGCAAACACGGTCCAAAACTCGTCCAAATTATAATCATTACGCCAATTTAAATTAACAATCAACAAAGAATCAGTCATAGGGCCGCGGTCTCGAATCAGTTGGGTCTTTAATATTTTTTTAAAAAAAGGAATAAATGAATGATGTAAAAAAGAATTTCTAATAAAGTTTTCTATTTTTCTATAAAAATAGATATTCGGGCAGGAGTACAAGCACAATCAAATGTTTTGAATTGGCTTTCCAAAAATAATAAATAAATTAGCTTTGAACTTTATATTTATTATCTCGTTAACTTTAGTTAATATTAAGATGACAATTTGATTTTTCAAATTCTTTCTGAATATCCTTTTTTGGAAAAGCTATTTTTATTGTATATGTACTTGTGATCTCACTATACATTTAATGCTATTTCAAGCAAATTTCTTTTCTTTGTTGTTGTTATAAATAAAAGCTTTTAAAAACCATTCCCTTGATATTTTATTTTTAAATATTATGTTAATTTTATTATGTAATAATGATGGGGTAACACCATAAATGTTTAATATGAAGATTTGTGAAAGAGTCGCCAAAAATAAAAAATTATTGGATCATTCAATTTACAACAAAACATTTCGTTCCAATTTTCTATAATAATCTGAGGTTTCTATCTGTAAAAAAAAAAAAATTATTTGTTTATTGTATAACTTTTTTTTACTAATAATAACAATAATAATATTTGTTTTTCAACCTCTTATATTTCTATTTTCCAAGGTTTCAAACGTTACACGGTAATAACCTTATTTATTATTAATTGTGTGAAACTAAATATCATGGAAATTTTTAATTAAAAATAAACTTCCCAATTAAGTCTTTCTTAGGTTTGGTTTTTCCTTTCTTCTCTCCAAGTAACTCGTGAATTTCAGCTACCAATTTTATTAATTGGGAAATCAGATTACAGACAGTCCAGCTTTTTTCTTATGAGTATTTAAAATCTTCAAGTATTTTTGGTTTACCTGTTCTTAATTTTTCAAATTTTATTGCGTTAATTGTATTTCCATAAAAGAAATCCCTCGTAAAAGTAGTAGTTCAACATGTATTTTTGAATTGATGACGGTTTTATAATACTCATCGCCACCTAACTTGAATACCTATTATAAATATATTTATTTAAATCCAAGACTTAAATGTGAAATGAATGTTCTTGTCAGAACAGGTTTATTATATATCTTTATTTTCTTGCCTTCTTTTCCAATATCATAATTAAAGCCTTAATTTTGCTCTCAGAAAGAAGGCTTTTCTTTATATAATTCGTTTTTTATTATCCTCTTGGCCGGCATTACCTACCCACAAGCGGAAAAATTTAAATAAATATAAAAATAATTTACAAGTTACAAAAAGTTTCAGGTATATGTTGAATTTTTCACATCAGTCCAACTCTGAAAGTAAAGAAAAAATAAAACAAATGAACTACCAGGAATTATAAGAATTATATTTTGAAGGATCATAAAATTAAACAACTCCTAAATCAATTGATGGTTATATTGCAAAAAATAGATAATTTAATAATATTAATATCTTTATGCTTCATATTCTAACAATATGAGCTCTTTTATTATTTTTTTAAATTGTTAATTTTTTCTTTGATAATTTATACACTTCATATTCTGACAAACGAGCTATTTTATCATTATTATTAAGATTCAAGTTATTCTGATAATGATTATTATTAAAAGAATTGTAGAAATAATAATAACAATAGGGTTCATCATTGATACTATTATATAGTCGTAAATCTAAAAAATTTATGATAATTTCACGAAAAATTTTTTGCTTTATAGTAATATCACTACTTTGACCTTTATGATATATTGCACACTCGGGTTTTTTAACTCTACTTAATGTTGGTTTATTTTCATCAATCTTAAAAATGAAACTTTTATCTGTAGGAATATAATAATTTTCATCTAGAGATCTTCCTTCCATATTCCAACAAACTGGATTATAGCCACCCACCAGTTCGCCTGTTCCTTGGATTTTCATGACTACTACAGTGTCTTTGATGTTATAACATTTTTGCTCAAATACTAATTTTTCAAATCCATGTCTAGTGCCCCGAAGAATTAATTGAAATTCATAAGGTAATTCATCTTCATTATAGATCTTTTCTTTCAAATCAATCCAACTAGATATTAAAGATTTCATTTCTAAACTTAATAATTGTCCTTTGCCTGTTCTTAAATGTTTTTGAGGCATCAATTTTGGCTTCAATTTCTCATTATCATAATATTGAAGAAGTTCTTCATATAATTCATTATTAATAAGATTTTTAAATGGTGTGATTTTTTTATAAAAATCATTTGAAGAAATACCATCAAATCTTATCAAAGGAATAATACCTTCTAATGTATTTTTTAGTAAATCAAAATCATTGTTATCCCACATTGAAATATCTTTTTCTAATAACTTCTTATTTTGTCCTACTCCCCATTGAATAACATAATCCCAAATTTTAATCTCATCTAATGATAAATCATCTTTTATCAATATCGATATAAACATTGGTTTAGTGATTTCTTCCATGCCATCAGATTTTAAAAATAACTCTATGTGATTATTATATAATTTGTCACAATATTTTTGAAGTAAATTAAATGATTGATTTTCTGATAAAAATTTATAAAAATAAACTAGATTTTGTTGAATCCAACATTCTTCCTCTTTAATTAAATAATTTTGTAAATCTTCAATCAGTTCATTGAAACATAATTCATCACATGCTTCAAGCAGTTCTAAAATTTCATTTGGGACTAGATTATCTATATTAACAATCCCACCATACATATACCTTTTAAATAAATGTAAATAAAATAAATATAATCATTATAATAATTATTTACCAAATTACTTATTTCTCAATTATTAAATTATTATAATAATCTTACATTAAAAGAACCTCAAATATTTTTGGTGAAATATTTTTTTTTTCAAATAAAATAATACTACCATCATTAGATTTTTTAATCCAATTGTTTGATAAAGCAGTCTTAAAATATGAAGATCTTGCTTTTAAAATGCCGGAATGAACCTTAAAAGTTTTCACCTCCTGGTCATCAACTCCAACTTTGATTTCTGTATCGTAATTAACCGAATCATTCAACAAATTTGTCAAATCATATAAAAGCTTACCAATATATTTTAATGGCAAATTATTATTATTATTATTATCATTATTAGAATTTGTAAGCTTGTTAAGCAAGCGTGTGATATTTTCCAAGGATGAAAAACTGCAATTATTAGACATTTTGAATTTGAGATTTTTTTATCTTATTACCATTTTATTATATTATTATTATATCACCATTTTATTTTATTTATTTATGGTTACACCACATGAATCACACTTACAAGCCGCAAAATTTCCTATATACTGCGCAGTTATTTAGTTGTTAACAAGTAGAAAGAGAGTTAAACTAGCCAATATTTGATGTTGATTGGCAATAAATACTTCCGCTTGCCAAGAAGGATTTGAAGTGTCTTTTCTCAGGACTGGATGAAGGTATGATAGCAAGTTTCTGTTTGGGATTATTTTTACACAAATTGCGCATTGCCAGGAGGGTTTGGATCCATGATTAACGCTGATCTGCGCTTCAGTGAACAGAGGCAATTTTCATCTCTTTGAACCCATTTTGCCTTCTCTGGATAGAGAAATCTTCCACAATATGAGTACGAAACACATTGATTGGTGATGGTATGAAATATAGGATTCAAATTTGTCTAAAGAGAAACTGGTTGTGGGGTCACCTGGGTGGAAGTGAATTGCATGATGTCAAATTGGACGACAGGAGAATGTTCAAAAACATTTGCTTCATTTTGCAAGGGCCCAAGGCATAAAACGTGGAAATTCATTTTTGAGTATTTGCTTTTGGATTTGGTTTTGATTTTGATTTTTAAATTCAACAGTATTTACGATTCTAATGATAACAATTTGTTTTCCAAACATAATAATAAGTAAAAATTGTCTTTATTTATATGAATGTTTTTTTTAAATTAATAATTAAAAAAGATCATACATCTTGAGATCGTTTTTTTCTTTTTACCAATGAAGTTTTTCTACATTGAAAATTTCAATCACAACGAATGAAAAGAATTCACAAAGTATCGTCATAATTTTTCAATAGCATATGTTTGTTTTTGTTTTTTATAAATATCAAATTTTTTTTTTGCTAATTTACAAAAAAAATTGTGTTCGCCTTCATTGATGTTCTGAATTGCCAAATTGCCAACTTGAGTATTTTTTTATTTTATCTTCACAACGGCAGTGACTCACCTTTGCCTTTACCTTTCTTTTTTCCAATTGATGACATTATTTCCCGTACAGCTTCGGCAGAGTTTGACGTGTCTGAATAGATTTATGAACGTGAGATAGGTAGTTTTGATCCTTTCAAATGAACTCACTCTCTGCTGTATGTATTCTGAGGTTCTAAGCAAGTAATTGTTGATGATTATATGGTAAATTTCGAATTCCATAGCAATTCTTAATGAATTAAAATATTCGTTGCCGTTTGTTTTGATGGTGATATTTGGGTTCATCCCTTCCGTGAAAATCCATCATGGTTGAAATCATTGTCACAACGACGTCTGGGCAAGTTCCGAAACCCTCAAATTTGTTGCAACTGTCTGGAATAAAGGTATCGTTAGAAAAAAGAAACACATCATTGCTAATAAAAATATTAATATATTTCTTTAAATTACAAGGTTTGTCTTGTTGAGAATGAATATTCTGATCACGTGAACAAAAACGATCCTAAGGTTGTTTTTAACCTTATCAATTCCTCTCCGGTTGAAGATTTTGAAAACCCGACAGGCATTCATTCATCTCTTTTATCTCCGTCACATAAACAATCGAATTGATTAGATATCTTTTTTTTTAAGGAATACAAATTGGATAAATAATGAGAAATTTTAAGATGGCAGACTTATTTATTGACCAAAAATCAACCTTTTTATCCTTGTTTTTGTTACTAATTAAAAATAACCAAACTTTATTCATTATTTAATTATTTTTTTTTTAAAAAAATAATAATAATAAAAGGATCGACCTACGATTAACCAATTTTTTTTTACTTTGATCAAAAGCCGTTATTTATTTACAAAAATTTCAATTGTATTTAGCATAATAAAAAAATCTTTAAAATCAGAGCAATTTTTGTTTTTATTTATCTAAAAATAATAAAAAATGGGGGTTCTTGGTATTCACAAGCGCGAGTTCATTGTTCTTATTACATTAATGTGAAGAGAAATGTGAAGAGAAATGTTTTTATTCTTTTGATAATAAAAGTTAGTGAATGTGTGCGACGCAGAAATTTCAGCCATGAAGCAATAAACATGTTATTTATTTTCAAATAAGTCATCTACAACTCTGCCAGTTTCGTTTTTTTTTGTTACGTGTAAATAATTCTAAGCCCATATATGGTGTTAGTGCACTACTTTTAGACTATGAACTATTTGATTATAAATAGGTACGAAAGAATCGTTGATCTTCAACCAACACAACAAACGTGAACCCATAATAATAATGTTAATTGACCAGATACCTCAGAATGCTGCCCTACTTTAGGTCTTGAATATTATTTATTTTGTACATTTATTAAAATTATAAGCCTTAAAATCATACCTTTAATCTGTCATTTTACCATAAGTTCTTCTAATAGTAGAGTGGAAAACCATATTAATATGGACCGTGGACAATAGAAACGGACCATGTTGTAAAAAAAGCAATTTTGAGTTAATGTCACTGCTATATGTAATAGTAATCATGAAGGATTTTTTGGACAGGTGAAATTGTTGCTTTAATAAAAGTTCTTAATTTTTAATCATTTATCAATATTATTTATTATCTTCAATATTATTAGATTGGACCTAAATCTGGTGTATTGCAGGTATATTTACTTGCCAATATATTCACACTTACATTGTTTCCCTTTGATCTAATAATTATTTTCGTTGTTACCTTGTAATAATAGGGTGCATTTATTCATAGAACATGTCGTGGTTCAGGAGCAGGAGGTGTTAGAAATTGGCATTACGAGCGCGTTGAAGATTGGTTTCGTGATGGTTTGAGATTATCAAGAGGAATGACTCATAAAAACGCGCTTGCTGAATTATGGTTAGTTGGTAAATAGAAATGAAATCTTTTTTGATTATGATTATTCGATGGATCCTATTAAATATACATTTTCATGCATGTTTTAAAAAGGTGGGGTGGTGGAAAAGGTGTCATGGCTTCTAATTCAGGTGTTGGGTTGTAAGTAATTGAAATTAATAGCTTGATTGTTGTAATTGGTGATTATTAAAATGAAAAATTTTTTTTAATTTAATTTTTCTCAAGAGGATTAAATAACGCCAATTTAGAATAACGTCATGTTGTTTTTGAAGAGTATGGAACTTTTTTAAGGTAGTTTGAAATGATTTAATATTTAATGTATTTTATAAATTAAAAAATATTATATATATAAAATAATTCAATTAATTCGTTAGTGAGTTGAAAGGTTATTATGTTACAGCTGAAGATGTGGGAATGAATGGCAAGTAAATATTTATTATTCATTTAATATTTAAAGATGATGATATGGTGTTAATATATTCTAAAACAAGATTTACAACATTTATCAAACACAGTCATATTTTCCAAATTAAAAAAAAAAACAGAAATGAAAGTTTTTAAAATAAAAAATTTCTCTATTTAGGTATT